CAGCATGTACAAATCACGGATGATGAGATAACAATAATCAAAAACTGCCGGAAAATTCTGCTATTCCACAACGAGCCATGGTCAAAAAACAACCTGTTTGATGTAAGTATGGCAAGTTATGACGAAGCCTAAACCTGCGAACTGGTAGGTATTCTAATTATTTCATACCTAGCCAGCATGCAAGAGAAAAAAGACATGGGCCTATACAGAGATAACGGCCCAATCCTAATAAGAGAACTCAATGGCCCTAAAATAGACAGATTCAGAAAAAGATAATAAAAGTCCTAAAAATAATTGGCTTCAAAATAGAAATAAAAACAAGCACAAGACCAATAAACTTACCCTAGTGAAAGAAACTTACGAATCATAAAAAATGGATAATGACACTCCCACATACATACACACACCTTTTAACCACCCATTCTCAATTATCAAGCACATACCTTAATCCATCAGCTGCAGGCTATCAGACAACTCATCCAGCATAGACATTTTCAACGACAACCCCCCCGCAAAAAAAAAAAAAAACAAAAACAAAAAAAAACAAAACAAAAAAACAAAACAAAAAAAAACGCAACAGTTAGAATACACACCACCACAACCAAAACAGAAAAAAACAGGAAAAGAAATATAATATGGTTTAAACTACCATACAACAAAACCGTCAGGAAAAACATCGGCTGAACATTCCTAAATCTAAATAGAAAAACACTTCCCCGTAACAAGCCCCTTAGAGAAAAAAATATTTAACAATAACAAGATAAAAGTTAGCTACACGAAGAACATAACACAAATAATAAATAACACAACAAAAAACAATAAACTGCAACAGCACAATCAAAGTCCCCCAGTGCAACTGCAGAGACAAATCCAAATATCCACTACAAGGAAACCGTCTATAAACAAACATAGTATACAAAGCAAAAGTCAACGCCAGCAACACTACAATGCACTATACTGGCGTCACAGAAAGAACATTCAAACAAAGAAAATACACACACGACATCTCATTCTCCAAAAGAAAATACTGCAACAGCACCACACTATCCACATATATATGGTATCTAAAAGACAAAAACCAGAAATAAGCTGGGAAATTATGAAAACCGCATCTGCCTACAATAATATATCAAGGAGATGTCTACTTTGCCTGCAAGAAAAATTGGCGATAATCACCCACACACAGCAAAAAACATTACTAAACGAAAATTGGGAAATAATCTCAAAATGCAGACACGAAAACAAATTTCTACTATCACATTTCAAACCAAACGGATAACACCAACAACAAAAACTGAAGAAAAACGGGAACAAACCTAACGAAATAATGGTTGAACACTAAAGCACCAGAACATTAAAACCACCAAAACATAACCACAAACAGGAATCAATAACATTACCAAAAATGTTACCAACATTACCGCCACCCCTACATACACGCCCATCACGAAAGATAATAACCATTAACACTCCAAAATTATTGTTTTGTGTCTACTACTATTCGTTATTAGTATTGTTGTTACTGTTTTAAGAACAATTACTTCATAACTACGACTACCACCATTAGTACTGCTTTTTATAACTATATTTATTATTGTTATTATTATTATTATTATTATTATTACCACTACTGTTATGATCATTATCATTGTCATTATTATTATTATTAACACTACTGTTATTATCATTACTATTGTCATTATTGTTATTATTATTATTATTATTACCACTACTGTTAACATCATTACTATTGTCCTAATTATTATTGTTATTATTACCACTACTGTTATCATCATTAATATTGTCCTAATTATTATTGTTATTATTACCACTACTGTTATCATCATTACTATTGTCCTAATTATTATTGTTATTATTACCACTACTGTTATCATCATTACTATTGTCCTAATTATTATTGTTATTATTACCACTACTGTTATCATCATTACCAATGTCATTATTATTATTACCTCTACTGTTACCATCATTATTATTATTATTATTATTATTATTATTATTATTACTACTACTGTTATCATCATTACTATTTTCATTATCATTATTATTACCACTTCTGTTATCATCATTATCATTGTCATTATTATTTTCTTATTATCTTATTAATTATTTTTAATAATTCATTTATTCTATATTCCATTTTAATGCTGCTAATAATATTATTATCGTGTGTATTATTGTTTCTATCATTAAGTTACTATCATTACTGTTCATCTTAACCAACAACACATCAAGTATGATCAGTATATCAATAATAATATCACAGCTAATATTACCATTATTATGATCACTATTGTTAATAACACAGCCGCAGTTATTATTAAAAAATACAGACATTATCACCATGTCTACAGACAGAACCCAACTTAACCCACGTGGTGGTAGCAGATGCAGATCAATGAGTCTACATATGTGTGTATGTGTCATTGCTTCATCTCCACCTGCCCCTCCCGCCACTAAGAGAACATTACTACATATGAATAGCTACAATCTCGAGTACGAAATAGACAGAATGAAAATTGCCTAAGTACGTGTGCTCGTACGTATAAATGTGTAAATCCCAAGATTATGATTATACGCCTGTATCAATGTGTGTCAAGCAAACACAGGAGAAATCTTTTTACCCCTTCCACCACACACAAATAATGAAACACAAATACGCATAAATAGATCTAGTTTTGAAAAAATAAACCAGTTTGTCTAAAGATCGCGAAAGCATGAAAACCGGGATTACAAACTGCTATCCCTGAAGCTGCATATATTAACTCTATCATAGAACACTTTCCACTAAATAACGCATATATATATATATATATATATATATATATATATATATATATAATTATTTAAAAAAAAATTTTTTCGCTTGAAGATGGAACAGAGCTTATTTTAACTCAATTTAATTTAAATAATTATATTGAAGTTTTCGCCTCTTGTTTTGAAACATGAGACTTCTTATGTAGCGTTTTGGAATCATATTTTTAAATAAATAATTATATTTATGCTCTACTTTTGTATCGAGCACTATTTTTAAAAACTAACAACTAAAATATTAAGGGACTTTGGATTATTTACCTAACCAGTTCCTTCCTATTTTCTATATATTTTCACATATATATATATATATATATATATATATATATATATATATATATATATATATATATATATATATATCATGAATCCTGTGACCTGTAACCCATTAGGGTCGTCGGGGAACCACATGTACTGCAGTCGCTGTAGAAGTATTTTCTTCAGAAAGATAGCCAGGCCGGTTTTTGAATTCAGAGTTATATATATATATATATATATATATATATATAAACACTTTAAAATATTTTAGTGGATACTCGTATTTGAGTAGTCTCTCTGTTTATTTAATAAACAGTATATTTATTTATTTTCGTCTAACGGCGTTAGTGTTCGAGAAATCTCATTAAAGAAAAAATTACGCTCTCCGGCAGTAATGGAACCTTGCCTTCCGTCAGAAAGATCTATGACTTCAGAAATTCCGCTTGAAGGCAGGAAACTCGGTCTACTGACTGACTGCTTTCTTTGAACAAGTCGGTAAGGTGTGCCGAACTAAACGGTAGCTCCCTCTTCCCTGAAAGAAGCAAGTTCGACGCATTTTTCTGTCGGATTAATAAAAAATCCATTCTAAAAATTTCTATATAATAAATGCAAAAAATCAGTGTGTCAATGTGTCACACTTTTCAACTTTATTCGTAGATGCCGTATACCAACATCTCATACCATTTTGGAATGAGGTCGACTCCGTGAACAAATTAAAAACATTCTGGGCCGGATCCAGACCCGCAATACTAAAATTTTGGATTCCCAAATTTTCATTACTGCCATTGTTTTAGGATTCCGCCATCTTAGCGTCTACTGATAAAAACAATTAAAGGGACACAACTCTCTAACTTTTAATAGCTCATGTTCAAATTAAAAAAAAATACTGTTCTCAAATTATAGTGTTTCAAAATAAAATTGTCCGTGCTTTGAACTTTGTTCATAGAGACCGTATCCCAACATATACCATTTTGAAATTAAGCTGACTCTGTGAGCAAATTGAAAACATTCCGGGCTGGATCCGGAATCTGGAAATTTTGGATTCTTAAGTTTTCATTACTGCGATTGTTTTCACGTGATGTTTTGCGACAAATTTTTTTGTACGATAACAATTTTTATAATTTAGAAATAAATGTGGGAATAATCGAAAATCAATTGCGAAACCTAACGAAAGTCATCCATGAAATAAAAATAATTGTTTTTTACAGAAAGTAAGGACCTACGTACTTTAAATTTTCTTTAAATTAAGTGGCGGCAGAAGAATTATCGTTGAACTTTTGAAAGGTAAGCTTAAATATTAATGCAATACTTAAATGCAGCGATCAATTTTGAGTTCTTCTTTAGTCTATTGTTGCCTATCACATACGGCAACAGTATGCTTCGCAAAAAGAAATCCCCACCAACAGAGGATCAGATTTCCATTAAGAGGTTATAGTGAGGGAAAAAAGTCCCGTGCAAATGAAAAACAAGATCAAACGGCAGAGCTTCCAACGCTGACAATATGCAAAGACTTAGGGACTCTCAAACTCCTGAAGAAGCCGAAGGTCCAAGAATCCTCCACAGGAGCTAGCTTAAATACCGCCCTATAGGGCGGCTTTTAATCTAGTTTGAAATAACGTTCTTGGAAAACGCATCAATTCGCCTCTTCTCCCCACACCACAAGGATTATATCGCAGGGTAGACTAGTCTGGTCAGCCTTCATGCCAGTCAATTTAAGAACAAGCAAATCTTGAGTTCCATACCGTGGAGAAAGCAATGAGTAAAAACTCCACTGTTTTTCTCAAGAAACCATGGCAATTCGGATATATTAAGAAGCTGTGGATAGCCATAGTCGCCTACATGATGAAGAGTCATGAGATTATATGATTAATATTTAGAAATTATCCATCCACATCGTTTGAATATCTTTAAGCTGTGGAAATGAATGTCAGCGAAGGAAGGAGAAGAAGAAGAGAAGAAGAAAAAAGAAGAAAAAGAAGAAAAGAGGAAGAAAAAGAAGAAGAAAAGAAGTAGGAAAAGAAGAGGAGGAAGAAGAAAAGGAAGAAGAAGAAAAAGAGGAAAAAGAAGAAAAGAAAAAAGGAAAAAGAAAAATAAGAAGAAAAGAAGGAGAAAAAGAAGAGGTGGAAGAATAAAAAGTAGAGGAGGAAGAAGAAAAGGAAGAAAAGAAAAAGAGGAAGAAGAATCAAAAGAAGAAGAAGAAGAAAGAAGAGAAAGAAGAAGAAAAAGAAGAAAATAAGTAGAAATAGAAGAGGAGGAAGAAGAAAAGGAAGAAAAGAAAAAGAGGAAAAGAAAAAGAAAAAAGAAAAAGTAAAATTAGAAAAAAACAAAGAAGAAGAAGAAGAAGAAGAAGAAGAAGAAGAAGAAGAATTGGTGCAGAACTTCCTTCTTTTTTTGGTGAAAGCTACATATTCTATGGGGAACTAAGTGCGCGTCAAAAGAGTTGGACCTTAGTGTATGAGTGTACTTACTGTCCACGAGTCTTTTTACCTTATACGCACCGTGACTTGATTCGTGTAATCAGTTGACATTTTGAATGGAAGAATACAAACCTATCCAATAACCAGTGAAGAGCCCACCCACTGGTTAGAAGGACTTATAGACAGGCAGGCGGATGGATGTACATTGTAGATCATTGGTACCGACAGAGTAGCTTGGGAAACCAAAGGGGCCATTACAAAATCAAATCCAACAACGCTCCCTGCTCACTTTTGTTGTTCTATATCATGACAGTTTCCCATCAGGCAATTTTTGTATCCGGTTCTGGCACAGTGTATTTATTCGTGTATAAGTCGATACGAAGAGTAAATTTGGTAGTCGATCGCTACGTGTATCACCATTTTGTTAGGCATAGTCTGAAGGGATAGGAGAAACTGTTAGTTTCGGACATGAAAAAGTTTAATAAACGATCTTCTATGTGCTGTGTCATGGCAAGTTTTCGTTTAGTCATTTTTATTTTACGAAAACGATTAGGTCGTTTTTATTTTCGACGACCGTTAAAGAGGCGGCATAGATTGGAAATAAGAAAAAGAAAAAAGTATTAAACATTAATGAAGGAAAGTTTTTTATTTTAGAAATGGTGTCGACCATTTTGTGACATGGATACAAGCATCGTCATGCTCACTCAACGGTCGTAGAATGGGAACACGACCTGTAACTTTCGACGAATAAAAATAGTCTACAAGAAAAACTTGTAAAAATGAATAGCAAAAGGTTATTTATTCCAATAAACATTAGAAAGGAAAAGGTCACTTTTTGTGATCTTCAATTTCTGTTATTCGCGATTTAAAATCGAGTTGAAAATCCCCCCCTTAGAATCTCAGTAGATTTCTTAAATGGGATTTTGTTAGTCATTGAAAATTTACAAAAAATATTCAAGATGGGAATTAGTTATTATACGAGCAAATTTTCGGGCAAATTCTATGGCTACACGCAAATACATGCCCGTATGACAAGCAGTCATACACAGATAGTCGATCAGAAAAAGCGTTCAATTAGAATGGAGCAAAAACAGCATCATATTTACATGTAACAGAGTATATCGCCTTCAATTACTTTAAAGTACTTTCATTAAAAAACATTTTCAATTAATGCAATTACTGATATAACAGATGTAGTCTGTATTTATTCAATCGAAGTTAGCTGAGGAGATGAAGGGGTAAAACAGGTAATATGAAAACCCACTACAGACCACAATTATTTTGGAGTTTTGGAAATTCAATTTGTTAGGGATGTAAAAGAGGATACATTTATAAAGCAATTGTTATGTTTGATGAAAATTCGTTGAAAGATCAACGAAAAATAAAAAATAAACCTGTAAAAATCGCCATTTTTTGCTATTTAGGCGGGTTTCCAAGATACGGGTAGACTCAATTATCAAGTTAACTGACTGTTAAACAATCAAATTATTGTTGGTTACAATTGAGTGAAGTTTGTATTAGATTGTTTGAAAATTGAGGGAGTTTTTAGTTTAAAATTTTTGTTGAAATCGAGTTGTGTTGAAATCGATTTTTAGTGGTTTTTCGCAAAACGCAGTGGCGTAGAAATAAAAATGAGGTATCGTTGAGCTCGTCATGATGTAAGTAACCTGCATAGCGAGTTTGAACGAAATCGGAGGAAAAAATTGAATTTATCGATTTTTGATCGGCTTTATCGATTACTGATTTTAAAAAAAATTATCAATGTTTTACGTTAAGAACCTATCTCTTACATTGTACAATATCTGTGCTAAGTTTGGTCAAAATCGGTTGGATGGATCTCGAGTGAAAAGGTATCACACAGACAGACAGACAGACAGACATCCCCTGTTTTACATATATATAATAAAAATGACAATTGAAAAATTCTTCTTCTATGCACCATGACACTTTGGCGCACTTCAATATAGTTTTATGGTTAGCAATCATGTCTCGCATAATAAATTACGATTGATTAGTAAGTTCAACCCTTACTGGGTACTACTCCCTATTTCCATCTTTGTGCCACATCTTGATAAAACACCATATACCATATCCCTTCGGGACGTGGGCGGTCAAGGCTCTACACAACTTCCTATCCTTTGTAGTTCTTAGCAATGCATTTTTTTTTACTATCCCGACCATTCTTTGTTCTGCCGTCCATTTACACAGACTAGTTTTACGCTGTTCCTCAACCTGACCTTCTGGTTTTCATTATGCCATGTGAATATCAAATTTTCTGTGCCTTCTTTCTTCGTTATGGGTACTACAAATTTCTTTTTCTGGTTCTAATGTAATTGCTTCCATTTTTCTTAAAACGTCTTCTTTTCGTACATGCTCTGTCTACGGTATATTCAGCATCATTCTGTTCTCGCATATCTTCTTCGTCTGTAAGGAAATTGTTCAGGATTCACTGCTATATAGGAGGATTGATATTACATAGCAGTTTAGAGCGCCTCTCTTTTGGTCTAACGATATTACAAAATTAGGTTTATTTATTGTTCGTTCTCTTTTTTACATCATAGCAGAATCATTGAAAGATCAGTAGGTAGATTGATTTACGATAGTAGAGTCAATATATTTTGGACAATTTTAGAAAAGTACACATTGATTTCAAAACTGCAAAACATCATGGTTTTTATTTTAAAGCTTTTCAGAGGTATTTTCAGTCGAAGAAGGAGAAATAAGAAATATAAGCGTCAATAAATTTTTATGTTAATTTTAGTAAGTTTGGGCGTGTGTTTAAATGAGTTCTAATGGAGCTGTGATCGGATATGTGTAACGTAAGTCGTCTGGATAGGCATGTAGTAGTGTAACCGATGTAATTATTGATGCATTTGGTTTGTCCTTAATAATGGCGAAATGTATAACCGAAAGCGCACGGAAATGCAGAACTTTTGAACAGTTTTTACACTAGTGCAAGTAAATATTTAACATAAAGCAATAATTCATCCCACAAACTCCACTAACTCGCGTGACCCAACATTATTAACTAAACTGTAAGCAATGATCACTACCTGAAAGATTGCAGAAGCATGAAACTCGAATCATTACTGTAAAGGGGTATATATATATATATATATATATATATATATATATATATATATATATATATATATATATATATATATATATATATATATATATATATATATATATATATATATATATATATATATATATATATATATATATATATATATATATATATATATATATATATATATATATATATATGTGTGTGTGTGTGTGTGATCGAGAGGCGCTATACAGAGTCTGATTCGCTACCTCACCGAGTCCCGTTGGAACAGTTGGTATGACGTTTGCCTGTCAATGCAGCTGTCCGGTTTTCAATTCTAGGTAGTGGATGCGCACTGCTGATGAGTCCCAAATATACGACGAAACGGCCATCCCGTGCTTTCTGAATTCCTATGGGTAAAAGAGAAACTCGGATGAGTTCCACCACGGAATATGTGATATTAGTCGTGGCTCGATGAATTATTAATTATATATATATATATATATATATATATATATATATATATCAATTTCAGTTGAGCTCTCTGGGGACGAGGTGTGGATTGGTAAACAGTGACTATTATAGCTATATAGTGAGACTCTTCGCAGATGCGAATTGAGTCACTGTCGGTCACTGGGCGTGTTTCTAAAAATAAATACGCTAAAAAAATCCACATTCATCCAAGCCGACGGTTTAATGGTTAGAATCTCCGACTGACACCAATTCAGTCGGGTTTCGATCCTAGCTAGAGGCAACCTGATGTCTAGCCACACTGATGAGGTGCGAAACAGTCTGTCTGTGGATAACGTTATATATATATGTATTTGAAGAAATATAGTCATAAGATGTGCTATATTTATGGGATAAAGTGCTCAATATCAGAGATAGAGCGTGTGTAAATATAAAAGTGAACATAGAAGTCAACACTTAGAGGCGACACTCTGTTTCATGCTATATGCAATCGTCAGAACTGATATATATATATTAATAAAAATATATAGTAAAAAGAAAACATAAATATTTTCTACAAAAACCAAATGCACGTCAACTGCAAACAAGATGAATCTTCATTTAGAAATATAAAGAAATACACTATCCCAATTGACCCGAATAATAAAAAAATCAATTTAATTATCTGCTACAAAAAATTTAAAACAGCTAACCTTATCCTCAAAAATAACAACACACCAGCAAAATAAAAATTACAACGAACGAATATTATTTATGAGTTCAAATGATCCTTAATGATCAAATCGAATTCATAAGTAATTACATTGGTCACACTACTACATACCTATCCAGACGCCTTACGTTACACCTATCCTACCACAGGTCTATTAGACCCCATTTTAACACACACAAACTTACCAGACTCCATCCGAAACATACTAGTGGAAAATACAAACATGATAACCTCATCCACATGTAAAAATTTAAAAGAAATAAGGGAAGCCTTAATAATAAAAAAGAAAAAGCCAACACTCAATAATATTAACTAAGAACACGGCCACAATGTGCTGACCGTGTTCGGAAAATTAATAAAAATCCCTTAAACTCAAGAAGCATACAGAACTTATAAACCCAATTAAAAAGCAAAAATAAAATCATCCTTGATAATAGCTAAAAGTATAGCCGAAAGTGCTCGGAATTATAGAACACTTTCTATACATTCTGTGCCCAGAAAAGAAAACACTTGTTCGAACACAATAAAAATTAAAAAGAAAGCTTAATCGCAGTACCTGGTCTGTCGTCTTTAATGATATATATATATTCATACATACATACATACATATATATATATATATATAGTATAACAATCTAAAGGTAGATTCAAATAGCTATTTCGACCCACAAGACTTACTTGTAGACCCTGTCAACTAAGAGATATGAAAAAAATATCTTTGAACTGACAAGGCCTCAACAAGTACTATTGTCTCACTCTGTCACC